GGTAAAGTAGACTGTAGAGTCTGAGCAGCTGGAGGACAGGGACTATGTCTTATTTTGTACCTTGTCCATCCTAATGTTCCCAGTACCCAACTCAAAGCCCAGTAGGTAGGGGGGACTTTAGTGAATGAGCAAATGAATGAATGAAGTCCTCTCATTATTTGGTAGTTTCACTCAGCTACAACTCTTACGATTTCAAATTGTTAATACAGGCATTTTCTTTCTCTTCACATCTCTAGTAGGTACAAATTTATTTATTGACCACTTACAATGTGTCAGTTACAACTTTGTAACTGTTTTGCATGTTTTCTGTAGTTGCATGTTTTACTTGCAACTAAACCTCACATCAACCCTATGAGGTGGGTATACCTGTTTTATAGATGGGAAAGCTGAAGGTAGGAGTTAGCAAGCAGGGTCGTTGAGGCTCATACTCCAGTGTGCCTGACTTTTTATTTTATTTGTTTATTTTTTACATCTCATTAGAGCTTTTGGAAACTCTAATCAGACCTACTACACCACACTGCCCTTGTGCGTGGGACTTGGCTGACTTTCCCAGAGGGATTTGAGGCAAGATCCCTGCCATTACAAATATGTGTATCATGGCTGCTTCCAGATAAAACCTTGAAAGTACTTTCATCCTTGACAGAGATCCAAAGAGCCCAGTATGACTGACAATCATGTCAGAAAATGAGTATCTGATTGGTGAATTATTTAACATAGCTAACATTAAAATAACTTATATTTAAATTTTATTTGTTCTATAATGATCTGAATAAAGCATAGAAGTTTGATTCCATAAAAAAGGCTTTGGATTCCTTGTCCAATAGCTCTCTTTCAATGCTCCAGATTGAAAGAGCCTTTTGGATGAAGAGGCAGTAGGCATGGTGTTTAAAGAAGTGTTTTGGAGCAAGACAGACGAGTTTGATTCCATAAAAAAGGCTTTGGATTCCTTGTCCAATAGCTCTCTTTCAATGCTCCAGATTGAAAGCGCCTTTTGGATGAAGAGGCAGTAGGCATGGTGTTTAAAGAAGTGTTTTGGAGCAAGACAGACCTGGATTGGCATCCTGGCAGTGCCATTCCTGGACAAGTCAGCTCATGTAATTATCTAATGCTGCTCTTGAGATCCTCCACCTCCTTATCTGTAAAATGGGGCATAGGTACTTATTAGAGCATAGGTACTTCATATCTGGTTGTTGTGAGGATTACAGAAGATCATGTAGGAAAAGCATTTAACCTAGGTGTGTCTCCTAGTAAGTGCTCAGTTCATTATGTGAAGCTTTTATTATTAATTCTTCAGAGCAACATAAGGAGCCTGAAACCTGAATTTTAATTTAAAGCTTGACACATGTCAAATGAACACCTGAAGAGTTCTCTAAATCACTGAACAATAGTCCACTCCCTTATAATGCAGCCCGTACACACACAGAGCAGAAAGCCAGGGTGATGGAAGAGCTCTGGGATTTGATTTAGAACTCCTTCAAGTTTATTTCTTGGACAATTCTCCAAGAGCAGGTGGTGGAAATAGGAAATCAAACTAAAACAAAGGAATTTAAAGGCATCATAAGGAGTCATTAATGAGTATTCAAAGTATCCAAACACCAGTTATCACTCTGCAGCAATCTTACCCACTCCCAAGGCATCGAAGTCTCCAGATCCCCAACTTCATCCTTGAGCTCCAGACCCACATTCCTATTGTGTTTGGACATCTCGTTTTCTGTGTTCTGTGGCTATCTTGAACAAGTCACAAGCAAACGCACAGTTTTCCTTTACCTCCCCCAACCCACTCCTCTTGGACTCCTGTTATTGCCAGTTACGTAAGACACTGTGGGCACCTTCACCTCCTTCCTTTCCTTCAGATAGGTTAAAGAATCCCACCAGTTTTATTTCTGAAAACCTCTCTCACCAACCCTCCCCTTTAGCCTTCCTGCTCCTTTTCTTCCCAAGCCACAAATGCCACTGCGCCCTGTCTTACGCCCTGTCTTGTGCCCTGGTTATCCTCCAATGCCTAAAAGAGGAAATTTAAGTTTCAATACGAGTCAGGTGCTCTGCAACTACTACCCAACTTTTCATCCTCATCTCTAACTTTGTGCTCCAAGCTCCCACAAACTCTGTGCTTCAGCCACACCAAGAGACACGTCTCCCCTTAGCAGGCCTGTTCCTGCCACCATGCCTTTGCAAATGCCATGCAACGCCCTCTCAAATGGCTTTTCCTGATCTGCCCCACCTGATCCAGCCTAGCCAGCTCCTACTCACCTTCCAGTCATCTACCTGGCAAACCTATTCTAACACTCCCCTCATTACTCTGTGCACTTACGTATCTGTTTATGCACTTGTGTATATAAATATATATATATATATATATATATGTAATGTCTGTCCCCAACCAGAATGTGAACTCCTGGATATATGATACTGGTAGACATCACTCTTGATATCTCTAGAGTCTAAACATCAGTGCTTGAAGATCAGTCTTATTTGCAGACAGAATAAATAAATTGAAAATAGAAATGTTTGAGCAATACAAGAGTAACAATACGAAGATTAAGAAGTTTAAATTGGCTTTAACATTATTTTCAATATACTCACTTATGAGAAAAATAGAATATGATTATTATATCTAACACATGGGATTGCTTCGTGAGATCCTAAAATTGTTCCCTTGATAATCCAGTCTATTTCCCACACTTCCTTCTAAATAAAAGAAGTCAGATCATGTCGCATGTCACCAGCTCCCCTTCCTCCTTCAATAAAGGCATCCAATAACATTTAGAATAATGAAATCAAAAGTCTTTTCCATGGCCCACGATAGCTGCATAGTATGCCCTCTGGCCATCTCTCCAACAGAATCTTCTCCCACTCTTACCCTAGCTCACTCCATTGGTCACAACGTCCATCTCCTATTCTTCATCATATTGCATCTTCCTGCCTCAGGGCCTGTGCACTTGTGGTTCCTTCTGCCCAGAAATACCTGCACAGCTTGTTCAGAGTCATTCAACTCTGCCTTGGTATCACTTTCTCAGAGATATCCTCCCTGGCCCCTTTCATCTCTTTTACTCTCTGTCCTATTATAACAGCTTTAATTTTTTGCATTATATGTATATATTTGTGTATTATTTATTGTCTGTCTCTGTCATTAGAACTGAATTCCTAAGAAATTTAAAATAATTAGGTATTTTGTCTGATTTTTTTGACACTGTATCCTAACATCTGGAATAGAGCCTGACACATAGTGAGTTCTCAACAAATCTTTTTTAAATGAATGACTTGCAACCTTTACCCAGGCCAAAATAATGAATGCTAAAAGGACAGTACTGTGAACATTTTAAATTTAATTTACATTTTTTTTCGTGGTTGGTTGGGAGGGGGATCTAAACTCGTGACCTTGGTGTTATAAGGCCACTCTCTAATCAACTGAGCAACTGGCCAGCTGACATTTTTAATTTTAAAATTAAGGTTCCTTCTGCCATGTTGACCCCTGTTTTTCAAACAGATTTATGAGTTTGCATATGCGCACACAGGCAAATGTCTGTCTGTCTGTCT